AACCACTCCCCGAAGAAATGAAAAACAACCCTGACTTAGAGAAAGACTATATATTTAATAATTTAGTCAAAAGAGACAAACAAGAAAGAATGCCGGGCTTCAAACTTCAGAAAGGTGACAAAGTAAAAATAGAAATACCTAAACGCGACCCATATGAAAATACTATTGACTATGACAACAATGGGAACCCGACAGGTACTCACATTCGTGTTCGTAAAAATAGAAGAAAGTATACAAGAGAATATTATGAAGTTTTAGGCAAACATGGCAAAATGTACAGACTGCAAGCAGAAGATAAAACTACTATTGTCAGACCTCGTTTCAAACTTGTCAAAGTTCAAGGTGGTATACTTTCAAAGACAGTTCCTAACAAATATAAGACAACTCCTGACGAATATGCTAAAGAAGTTGAAAATGACGACTAAGCATTTCTATACCATGCGTAAACTGTCATGTAAGGTGGCATGTAGTCTTTACTTTGTCCCGTTGTTTGCGTATACCCTGAAACGAAATGTGTATGGTCTCCTCCTACCTCAGTGTTATCCAAGTAACAATTTATAGCAAACTGAACGTTGTCTTTAACATCATATCCTTTACCTTTTGTCATTCCTGTCCAATCCCAATATCTATGCTTATGCCCACCTTCTCGAGATGTAGTTAAACTTACGTAGTGACTGTGTGCAGGTAAATTTGCACCCGAAATCGTTTTACTTCCACCTGTTTCCTTTGAAGAGTTTGCACAATACAAAAACCTGTCGACTATTTGAGTCCAAGTTCCAAAACCAAGTACTACTTCTGGTCTGGTAGAGTTCATTGACGTATAAATAGAACCAACCGGGTAAATAAGATTCGGCAAAATTTGTTTAAGCACATTGAGTTCCTGTCTTAGATGTATAATACTATTGTCATTAGATATCAAAGTATCTACAAGACTTGTTGCCGGTGGTATTGTTGGACCTTTACTTGGCAAGGTTGTGTTTAGTGTAATATCATCTGCTGTAAAAGTTGTAAAACTTGTATGTGTATGAGTCTTATTTGCTTTAGTGTTTAAGGTTTCTTGTAAGTTTGTAATATCAGATATAGAATGTGTATGAGTCTTATTTGCTTTTGTCTCTAATGTTTCTTGTAAGTTTGTAATATTTGCAATGGTATGTGTATGGTTCTTGTCGGCTTTAAGGTCTAAACATCCTGAAACCCATCCTGTATCAGCTTTAGTTTTTAAAATCTTTGTTGTCCGTTCATTATACCATTCAACCCTTTCTTTAATTTCATTGTCTTTTTCATCCACATATTCCTTATCTGCCTTCTTCACTAACGCACTAGCCACACATGCTAACTCATCGTCAACATATGTTTTATCTGCTTTCATTTCAACATCCTCTTTCGTTGCATATGTTGCATCTGCTCTGTCATGTTCTTCTTGAACTTTTTCAATGACATACTCTTTGTCAGCTTTGTTGTCAACATCTGCTTTCAAAAGAAGTTCTTTTATAGGTTTCTCGTTTAAGGTTCCTTTTGTTGGATTTATACAAACAGTATGGTTCTTGTTGTCTTGAAACAGAAACTCATCTGTCATTGGGTTTAATGTCAGTTTTAAGCTTCCTTCTTTCAATGACTCAGATATCTTAGAATAGTTTGAAAAGTTTGTTGTGTTCTTATTTAGAGCTTGTATAATGAGTTGTCGGTTGTGTTGTATTTCTCTCATAGACGCTGTTTCATTTGACATTTTTATTCTAGATAAAATATGCTTCCAATAGAAAAGGAAACTTCTAGAGTTGCTACAACTAAACCATTAGATGAACTTTTTACGAATGTCGGTCAAAAGTTTGAGACAGAGACCGTAAAGCATGAAGGCTATCGTTTTGACTACCCGTTAAGATGGCTAAGAGACCCATCCGTCACAAAAGCTATTGGCTTTCGTAGAATGAAGTTCATTTCAGAAGCCATACATGGTTTCCCATTTACGGTCGGTTTTGTAGTTCGATACTATAACAAAGAAAAACGTACGTATGAGAAATTTGAACAGGGAAAACTTTTACAAGTTAGTTTGCTTGTAAACTTAGAAACAACTCTTCAAGCTTTTCAAGAAAAAATAAACGATATCTATCTCGAATATGCAAAGCAGTATAACATTGACGAAGGAGAGTACCATCTCGATATTATATATGACAGGAAAAATGCAACTGTTAAAATCGATAGAATAGAAGACCTTGGAGAAAACGTTTATATTTCTACAAAATATAACAACTTGGCATGGTATAGATTTTTGAGGATGTTAAATCAGCCTGCAGAATATCCAGTACACCCGGACTTTTATGAAGTCGAAAACCCTAATGGAACATATGAAAATGTTTTCGACTCAGATGCTATTATAGTTCATGCTTCATTTTCTGGTGCACAAAACTCTTTTTTATGCTTGGCAAATGACTTTTACGAAAAACCTACAAAGCTATATGAACCACCGAGTGGAAGTATTTCAGATTTTCAAGTATGGTTTACTACAGATGGAAGAAAGAGAATAGTTCCATTATACCATGCGTTTTACTTAGAACTTAGTTTCATATACAACTACTATCGAACGGTAAAAATATAATTTTTTAATACGGTTGAGGTGTTGGATTTGGTTGCCAACTAGACTGTGGTGCAGGTTCAGGCTGTTGTATAACAGGAGCTTGTTCTTCTGGTTCAGGGTCTTTAGGTATAATACCAACGAACTGACCTACTCTTTTACCAATATTTTTGACTCCGTTCCATACTCCTCTTCCGACAGATTTTATTCCATTCCATATACCTCTTCCAACATTTCGAAAGAAGTTTCCAATACTACTGAAGAAACCCATTTTACTATATGTAAAAATCTAATGTCCACCTAGTCTCTTACGTTTCCTGTTGAGTTCCATAGCATTCTTTAACTGGAGCTCATACATTCTATTTCTCCTCTGGTAGAAAACATACTCTGGGTCAACTCCTGTGTTCGCGTCATCTGCATAGAGTTGTTTATATCCCACTTCAGGGTTTGTATAAAACTCTTTCCATCTCATATTTGCATACCATGGTGGCAAACCTAACGCAGCGTCATTTGACATGGCAGTTTGCATTTGTACATCTGTTGGCACTTGACCATAGTTTGCCATTGCAGTTTGTATTCTAACTTCATTTGGAATATTCTCTGGGTTTGGTTGTCCGGGTTGCTGTGCATTCGCTAAGTTCTGTGCGTCCATTTAATATTAGATAAAAATATCTCTTACGAGTACATATACTGAACATTTGCAGGCATCGGTTCATCTTCATATTCTCTGTACTTTTCTGCCACGTCAAAGAAATAGATGACACAATGGAAAAAACCTAAAACAAGTAGTCCTATTTCAAACCACATTTAGTTACCAATAAAATTTCTTTGTTATGACACTTTCTCCGGTTTATAGGACCTCTCTCATATTCTATCTTGTCATATCTAAACTCATAGTCATGTATGTCTTCTAACCATCTCATAACGGTTTCCAAACCACTTTTATCGGATGTAAAGTAAAAGCATGGATGGTTATGTAAAACGTCTAAAGTTTCTAAAGAGTCTCTCAAAGTCCAGTCTACTTGGTATTGAAAATCGCATGTGTTATAGAACGGCGGGTCCACTATAAAGAAAACATTTTCCTTGTCTTTAAATTTTTCATACAACTCTGTCCAATGACATCTCACAAACTCTATACCCTCAATATATTTTTCTATGTCCTCTTTGAAAACCTTTGTATAGTTAAGATATAAAACGTTTGACATAAGTGTTTCAATGTCATGAACTCTTATAGAACCACTATATAATAGTCTAGCAGATATACTATCCCAGTCTATATATTCTACTTTTTTCAAAACCTCTCTGACAATATTTTTCTTATCTAATGGTATACGTTCCATCTTACCTATAGGTATCTTTTCTTTTAACTCACTCAATATTTTGTTTGTGTCTGGTATATGTTTGAGACGGTTCATATAGTTGTCGAAGTCATTGCATATAATCTTTGAGTCTGGGAATACGGTATGGCACAAATGGGATATATAGAAACTTCCACCGAACAAATCTACAAATGTTAGACCATTCGGTAGTTTCTTAAGTTCTCTCAATAGAATATCTTTACATCTACTCTTATTTCCAAAGAAGGGTAACGGTGGTTTTGTAAAATTCATTTTATATATATAATAAAATGTTTTTACCTGAAAAAGTGACAGAAAAGGCTTCTCAAAGTATACTTCTTTGAACGCCCGTAACTTTTCTGTAGCGACGATAGACCCTTACTTGTCCGGACATAGTTATACTATTTTGAGTCCTCTACCGAAAAGTCAACGACAACGACTTTCAAAAATTTTTAGGGCTAGAAGGCACGAAGTGCCTGGGAAGCCCCCTTCACCCAAAAAAAAACCTCATTTTATACTTCATTGTATACTAAACATCTTCGGGGCTAGAGGGCACGAAGTGCCTGGAGGCCCCACTCCCTTTTTTTTTTTTTTTTTTTTATATTCATAAAGATTTTCCAAAAATATGATACCGCAAAATTAAAAAAGTGACGTCTTGAGTGGAGTCAAAGGTCGAAATTGCTAGCTAAATGTTTTTTAGCGAAATTGCGTATTGTACGTTTTTTTCGCAAAACGAAACCCTTACAGCAATCGATAAATCTCGTTATGTGAAATCCAAAGTCAAATTGTGAGAAACTCGTAATTTTCAAAAAGATCATAATATAGCCTGCTTTTAGATAAACTCTTAAATCCAAATATGACAACAAAAACATCTAATTGTAAGATTTTAATGCAGAAATTCAGAAATATGAATGCTCTTTTAGCTGAATCTTATTAAAGAGATATAATAATATCGATAATGGAGTGCATCATGTATGAAAATGATAAAAGATTTTGCACACACAACTAATCCATTATAAAATGAAGTTTAAAATTAAAGATGATTTGGAGAAACAATAAAATTTGGAGAAAAAAATAAATACGTTAGAATTCTGATGTCGTTTAGTAGAAGTGTATTAAGATGGCTACAGACAATAGATCTTTCACAATCATATAGTAATCCAAGAGTTGATTTCGCAAGTGGATTTTTAGTAGCAGAAATCGTTGCAAAATATATTCCAACAGTATCAATGCATTCTTATTCAAACTTCGTTAGTACTAAAATGCGCCAAGACAATTGGAATCAATTAGCTGCTGTATTTCAGAAAAATAAAATACCAATTCAACAATATTTAATTGATGAAGTAATTAAAAGGAAACAAGGTTCGGCTGTTACTCTTATTGAAATATTATATACACATTTCACTAAACTTACACCTAGTCATCCAAATCTTGGCAATTTCTCATCGAATGATTCTAAAGAGAAAGGAAAACAAGCGCAAGTTACAACAATTGCACCACCTACGATTCCAAAAACACCAGAACCACAACCAGAGATACCTCCACCAGCACCAAATCGCCAAAGATTCATTGGCTCAACATCAGTACAAAGAACTGGTGCTGCATCGGACTTAACACCTATCTCATTCGAATCGGCATCTGTTATCAAGTCTGGACCTGGATTTTTGGAGTTGCGCAATTCAAATACTCCAGCAACTGAAGATTCAGATCCCAAAGTACTTGATAATGCTATTGATGAGCTCACAAAAGAGATCACACCAGAATCTCTCCAAACATTCATTACTTCTCTTTCAGATCCGATTCAACTTGCTCAATTCCTGGAACATTATCCACCAGACTTAATCGTTCACTTCTTAACAGTTGCTGCTCCAAAGACGCCACCAGAATACGGTTCTTGCCTAATTGATTATCTCATTGATCTTTTCATTCCAACTTTAACACCGGAAGCTCTTCCAATTGGAGACCTTGCCGATTTCATTTTCTCAGTTCCAAGCCAAGATCCATTCACTCATCACATTTTGCTTTACCATGTTCTTGAACATGCACCGGAAGATTCAAGAGCCACAATTTTAAGTGCATTTTTGACAAGAGAAACTGAATTATCTAAACCTCTTGCAGAATTCTATGCCCAGAAGATCGAAGGGTATTCAAAGAACGATCCACAATGCTTATTACCACAAGCTCTTACTAAACTCATTAATTTTGATAGACAAGCAGGTATTCCTTTGATTCCTTTGTTCCCTCCAACGGGAGATCAAGATAAAGATGTACAACTCGTTGGATTATACACTAAAGCAACTGAAGAAGCTTTACCACAAATCAAAGAGATCATTACAGGTGCAAATAGATCTGTTGCTGCTTTAGTTTTGTCAACAATTGCAAAGGATAAATCTTTGACAACAGAACAAATGGCATCTTTATTATTGTTACTTCCTGATCCAATGGAATTATTAAGTACTCCTTATAGTATAGAAAGTTTTGGACAAACATATAATGTTGATCCTTTGATACAATCAATTTCTACAGTTGATATTGCTGAATCTATGGCGAACCAGATTAATCAATCTCAACCTGATAGAATTGACAAAGAGATCTTCTTGTTGTCCGCTTTAATGACTGATATTAGACAAGATGATGCGGAAAGATGGACGAAAGTTTTTAATAATTTACATGAATATCTTTATTTGGCTTTTTGCGATGAAAATGTTTGCAAAGAAGTTTCTAATGTTTGCTTGGCTTTCTATAAGATGATACAAGGTGAAGTATTTAGTACTTTCTCTGTATTGTTTAAAGCTTTGAATTATGTATTCCCATCAAATTGTCCAGCAATTTGCAAACAAGTTTCCGCAGAATTTTTATCGAAAGCAGCTGAGATTAATCCTAATTTCTCACAGGCAATATTGAAATTATTGATGAACTTCCCACCAAAGACAAATCCTGATTTAGACAGGCTTATTGCTGCGCTCAAGAAAGTAAGAAAATAAAAAATTATTTATCGGATATTCAAAATTACATTCTTATTTTTATATTAATATAATCAACAAGCATCGGATTATATTTGATTCTCCTCAAATACTTAAATCTCCAAAATTATTGATTCATATTTCTGTTTAACAAATAACAATCAAGCATAAGGATAAGAAATTCTACACATATAAAATTTTAGAAGTATTTAAGGATGGAATAACTATTTGTCAACATTTTTGAAATCCGACCATCCTCAAAACATCGGAAAATGAAATATCTCATGTCTAAAATGATTTGTATATAAGGTGTGTGATGGTTGATATAAGAATGAATCAAATTCTTAAAAATCGATTACAGTAGTGGATATGACGGGTTGTGTGACTTTTTTTGTAAATGTAAGAATTCATACGATATTGAACGATTTTGTATCATTATTTTTGACATATGAAGTAAAAAATGTATGATTCTTACGGTTTTTATTCTTACGTTTTAGAATAAATCAAGATTTAAAAATGTAAGACATTTACACTCAACCCATACATGATGTAATAAACATATTAAAAATAATTAACATTAATTTTAAAAATAATTTATTTCATCTTTTATAAAAGAAGCTATATATAGATGATGTCAGATATTCCGCGATTAATTAAAACAAGTGTTTAAATCATGAATGGAATCAATGGAGTCATAATCAAAGACCTCATAAATGAGAAAAAGAAATTGAAACTAATGATTATTTGAATTTATGAAATCAATTATTTGATTCATGTCTTACATTTTTGAATAATTTATTTTTAATTCGTATGAAATGAGTGTCACAACTAACAGCGTTAAAAAATTGGGATTCACAAATGAGGAAATAAAGGATATATTAAAGGAGGCGGGTTATGAAGTTGATAAATATTATTTAAGAAATTGTCAAAAATTTGCGGAGTTTTTAAATGAGTTTGATTATGATGGAAAAATGAATAAAGATGATGTTATAAATTTCTTATATCCCACATCTAAAAAAGAAAAACCTAAAGAACCTGATGTTTTCCCTGAATATTATGAAGAACGGATTAAAGATGATGAATATGATGAAATTGAAAGACTGGAAAAAATAAGAGATGAAATAGATGAAAAAATTAAGGAATTAAGAGAAGTTGAAAATGAAGTAGAGGGTTTAATGAATATCCCAGCTTCAGAATCAGAAGTTCAGAAATCTCATGAAGAAAGATATAAAAATTATGTCTTAGAATCAACACAAAATTTATTAGATGGTGAAATAGATGAAACACTTTCAGAAGAAGGAACTAAATTTATTCATAAACATAAGTTACAATTTATTGATAATGAAGAATACCCTTGTATATTACTTTCACCACCTTTAGATTCTGAGAAATTCAAAAAAGCTCTTAAAAACGTGACATATGCAACTAATACGATTAAAAAAGAAGATCATGATATTTACACAAATTATTATTTAAATAAATGCACAGGTGTTGATAAAGTTTTTGATTTATTAGATAAAATATCAAAAGAAACCATTGGAACCTATAAAATTTTGTGTGATTGTGGTTTCATTGTTGAAGATACCAATAATGTTTCATATGAAAGAACAGCACCGAAGGAAGATGAAGTTGAAAGGTCTATACCATTCGTTATTAAGAACATAAAAGATATGAAAACTTATAAACATTATATTTATTCATTTATTTCAGAAAAAATGGAAGCAACCCATAAAACATCTTCTCATCATTTTATAGCTATTCATACATTCCTTTTCAAAGTTGTGAAATTAAATAAGACAGGAATTAGATTTAATGTATCAGGGTATGCATTCTTGAGTAAATTAAAATGTATTTGTCACGTCGCAGATGATAAAAATTTATGTATTCTTAATTCATTTTACGGACTTTAATAAATAAACTTTATTTTTATTTAATTTTTATTCTTACATAAATGAACAAAAACGGAACAGCTAAAATGAATGATAATCAAATTAGAGCAGAAGGTAGAAGGTTATTTAAACGCTTCTATAACATTCCTGATGGTGCTAATCCTAAAACTCGTAGAAGCTATTTAAATGAAGCAATAGATGCATATGAAGGGTTTGACATTTCATCAGAAAGTGAGAGATTAGCGAGAATGTTAAATGTTAATATTGATTTCTATTATTGTGATCCTCAACCAGAAGACGTGGACATAAATAAGGTAGACTTTCCATTAGTGGAATCAATAATGATAGATCCAGAATTTGAAACAGTAAATATTTTATTAACACAGAGTCCATGTGGAAAACTTCACGCTGACAGAATAACAGACGTTGAAGCACTCACCGGCTATAAAGTTTGTCCATATTGTAAAGAAAAAGTTTATTCTATCCGCGATGATCCAGAAAGGAAAAACCAAAGAAGATTTTTAAAGCATTGTGAGAAATGTAAAGAAAATAATGGAAGATTAATTCAAGACGTTCAATTGCAAAAAACCCAGCAACCATATGCACCACATATTATGAAACAGAAGATATATCAGTGGTTATTAGCTCACAATTTGCAGGAATATTATAAACCGACAAGATATTATATTACTTTTGACTTTGAAACATTAGAGACTAAAGAAGAATTACAACTTTCTGAGTGTGCAACTTTGAATGCTTACTTAAAACCATTCATGGTATCATCAACGGTTAAATTAAATGATAAAACATATACGAGGAATTTTTGCTTAACTTCAAGTGATTCTTTTATTTCTGATTGGATTGAGTTTTTATTTTCAACCTGTTCATTAGTTGTTGAATCAAATATGAGTCAATACAATGAATTATTGTTGTCCCTTACATTAAATGAAAAACAGAAGGAAGCATTTAAAGAACTTCTAGATGAGGAATTTAATAAAGTGAATATCATAGGTTTTAATTCGGGAAAGTTTGATTTAAATTTAATTCTTCGTGATTTAAACACTGCAAAATGGAAAATAAAATCAATGCTGGGTTCATCTTCACAATTTAAGCAAATCATTGTAAAGAAAACAAACGTTCCATATGAATTGAGATTTATTGACATCAGAAATTATATAGCGGGTGGAACATTGGATCAATTCACTCAAGATTTCGGAAACAATAAATCACGTGTTAAATCCTTTTTCCCTTATCAATTCATCACATGGGAGAATTACGAAGAAGAATTATATAAAGTGGAACCATTCACTCAAGATTCATTTTATTCAGCATTAACTCAAGAAACTATATCAGATAGTGATTATCAAATATATCTCAATGATGCTAAAAATTTTAAGAATAGATTAGAATATTTTATTCATTATTGCAATAAAGATGTTGAAATTATGATTGACCCAATTGATAAAATTATTGAAGAAACATTTGTTTATAAAATTGATATGCTTCATAATCTTTCTTTATCATCAAATGCTTCAATGATTCGTTACGCTTTAGCATATAAAGACTTTAATCTTAATGAAAAATATCCTGAGGAAAAGATAGAATCAAGTTTTGAATTAACGAAAAAGTATTGGAAATATAAAATTGAATCATATAAGAAACAAGATGAAAAAGCAAAAAGAGATACTAAAAATAATGTTTCAATGGATGATTTTCAATACTATCACGATTTAATCCTTTCATCTAAATGCAAAATGTGTGGTAAAGCGTTTACATATGCTAATAAACCAACATTGGATAGAATCGATAATGAAAAACCACATACTAAAGAAAATTGTCAGTTAATGTGTTGTTATTGCAATGTCGTAAAATCAAATAAAGATGAAGATGTTCAACGTTTAAGAATCAATTTAAGAAATTATGCATTAAAAAATAATTTACCAATGACTTTAGATTCAGTTGAAGCTTATCACATTCTCCGTAATGGAATTACTGGTGGTCTATCAAATGTTCAACATAGAGTAAATCTTAAAGGAATCACGCACATTAATAAACTTCATATAATCCAGAAACTAAAACTGTATCAAATGAGGACACTTCCAACATTATGACTCATTTCGTTGGTGTTGATTTTAATTCATTATATCCTTCATCATTTTCATCTAATCCTCATGATTTCATTCAATATACTGACCATAAAATGTATATGCCGGGAAGATTGAATGGTGTTATCATTTGTGATACAGCAACAAAGAAAGCAAAAGCATTGGGAATTATTAGAAAGAAAAATACTTTATTCGTGGCTGAAGTAAAGGGTCACATTGATGAAAAATACATTAATGATTACATAAACTTTTTACCGATAATAAGAAACTTAGATATTATCACAGATGAAAAAACAATTGGCAGTTTTATGTATAATTACATGAAATCAAACAATCTACCAGTTGACCAGAAACAGAGAAAATTAACTCAGTTAGCATCAACACACAACCATTATCAACCATTTTCTTCTTATTATCTTTGGTATCTAATCGACAGATTTCATTTTATCATTGATGATATTCAATCAATTTTAACATTTACTAAAAACACTTGTTTTAATGAATTTGCGAACAAATTTATGAATGAAAGACAAAAGGCTGAATTAGAAGGAAATAAAGGAAAAAGTTTATTTTGCAAGATTTCACTTAATGGATCATATGGTTACGATGCAATGAATACACAAAATTACGCAAAGACTAAAATAATGAATGCACAGAAGGCACGCATTGCATGTATGTCAAATAAGTTTAAAAACATAAGAGAAATAGGTGAGGATACATATCAAGTGATGCTCAAAGATAGATTTTATAGATGTGAAACATGTTTACAAGAGGCATTCTTTACTTTAGATAATGCTAAATACTGGTATTTAGTTTTCATTTATGATTTTATGTATAAATGCATGGATGTTAATCGTTTTCATTTCATTGAAGGTGATACTGATTCATCTTATTGGGCAATCGCTGGCGATCCAAGTCTTCCTAACACTCAAGCATTTCAAGCAATTGTTACCGATAAACAATTTTATGATAAAAACATTTTCAAATTCGCACCATTTGATTTCTTCAGTTTTGATGAGAAATTTAAACCTAAATTAAAGAATAAAGTTGAAGAAAAAGCACATGAGAAGAAGTTATTGGGTTTAGCAATTGAGAAACAAGGATAACATGGTTGCTTTATGCCCCAAGTGTTATACATCATTCAACGGTTCAATTGATGGAAGTGATTTTAAAAAGATTGCACAAAAAATGAAAGGAGTTAGTTTACGACAAAATAAACAATTAACACCTAAAAATTATTTGGATATAATAAATGATAAAGTGATATTTGATGGTCAGAATATTAATTTACAACTTAAAAACAGGTCAATGACTCGCTTAACAATCGGTAAGACTGCATTAACAGGAGCACACACTAAGGCTGTATGTTGTGAAAATGGATGTTGTATGCCATTTATTTAATACAATTTGAAATTTTATTTTTAAAAAAATGGGATTCACAAATGAGACAAAAAGGAACCGTTAATGATGGTTATGAAGTTGATCAAAGAGGTGGGCACCCTTAAAACATTTATTTTATTTTTATATAAATGGATGATGTAAATTTAAAAAGATTAATTGATGATTTAGTATTTAATCAAAATTTTCTTACTTATTATGATTTAAAAGCATATCTCCAAAAATATGATAACACTATAACGGGTGATGATATGGATTATTATTATCCATATTATGAAAATGATATTTTGAAATATCATGATAAAATAATTTCTGAAATTAAAGACAAAATTGAAAATAATGAATATGCAAAGGGAAAAACTAAACCGCAACTTAAACAATTGAAAGATTTCAAAAATAAAGTATTAACAGAAGAAGATATTGATGAATTATATAAATTATATAATCCCAAGCCGCAAAAGCCAAATGTTCAACAGTTAAAAGTGCAAAACGCCCAGGCCCTTCAGACCATAAATGAAACACAAGCTTTAATTTATGATTCATTAGTTAAACCATATTCAGCCCGACTTTTAAATGAAGATCAACTTTTGGAATTCATCCTTCAACATAAACTCGAAGTGGGAAAGTATATCAAACTTTATATACAGTATATTTAAAACAAATGAATAAAATACATCCAGAATTAATGAAAAAAGGAATGAAATCCAAAATCAAAGCAGATAAAATTAAACCACTTGCAACACCAAAACCTCCTCCTTCAGTTAATCCTTCATCATTCACTTTATTATATCCATTTCAAACATTTAAGAAGCAAAAAGATTTTAAAAAGGATTTTAAAATATTAAATAAACCAACTGACCCAAAAATTCAACCGTTAAAGGAAAAATTTAGTCGCCCCTCATTTGCACCATATCCATATTCATACGAAATCGATCATTTAGAATATTCAAAAGGAAACGTTACTTATTTATTTGCCATTAACGTAAACACTCGATATTTATATTGCATTCCAGTGAAAGGGAAAACAGAACAGGAAACACGAAGAGCTATTCAATACTTACTAGATCATGAAAGAGTAGATAATATAAGGGGTGATTGTGATAAAGGATTTCAGGCAGCTATGGCTCATTATTTTCCACAAATTAATTTTTACTTTTCATCTTCTCCATATACGTTTCATAATAAAATAGTTGATGCGGTAATGAGAACTCTTAGAGATGCGTTAGGGGTTAACGGTCGGATATACTGGGATGGAAATCATGACTCCATCATACAGCAGTTAGTATATTATTACAATAATACATGGCATAGACTATAAACATGAAACCAGTGGAAATGAAAAATGATATTTCAAAAGAATGGGAATATATTAGAAAGCAAATGGAAAGGTTAAATGATGTTAAACGTGAACAAATTAATTCGGGGCTCATGAATTTTAAACAAGGGGATAAAGTTTTGATTCATCTCGATTATGGAAAAACTGATAAATCAATGACAAAAAGAAGACGAAGATTTGACACAATAGCTGAATTTGTTAGATATATTAACGGTAATGCATTAGTAGAGGTTGACAATAAATTAATAGAAATTCCGATTTATTTTATTACTCCATTATATTTAAATAATATTTAATTTTTTTATTTCGTAAGAAATGAGTGACAACGAAGCAGCCAAGAGTCCGGACGATGAATATAAAAAGAAACTAAACAAAATTAAATCAAAAATATGTTATTATAAAAAGAAGCCGCAATGTGGTGGGGTTGAAAACGATCAAGAAATAATCGAAAAATTAGAAACTTATCGTTCAATCCTTAAACTGGGTGAAGCAAAAATAAAAGAATTTAATAGAATAAATAAATTGATTGGAAGAGATGAATTTAATAAAGATGAATTTTTAAACTCAATCCAAATTTAATTTTTTATTCCTCATCTTCTCGGTTTTCGTGGTTTGTTGTTTTTTAATTAGTTCTTGCATCATTTTTATCATTTCCTCCCTTGTTATGATTCGTGGTAAATTTTGAGCTTGTGGGGTATCCATTTATATAAAAATTAAATTTGATGTTATTGTTAATATTTTCATTAATGATTTTAGGTTATTCAATAATACTTTATTTTTGAAGAACTGAAGGTGTCACTATGTCACTATGTGTCACTCGGTAATTTAACTTTTCTGAAAAAATGAGACAACATGACATTTTGACAACATAGTGGGATTAATGAGGAAGGCACTTATGAAGCATTTTTGAAGAACTGAAGGTGTCACTATGTCACTATGTGTCACTCGGTAATTTAACTTTTCTGAAAAAATGAGACAACATGACATTTTGACAACATAGTGGGATTAATGCAAAAATAAATTCCAATCATACTTTATAAAGCTTCATTTACAGGTATTTCATCATCAGTAAATGAATCCTCATTATCGTTTGGTTCAACCTGTTTATATAATCCTTTCATTTCTTCTTTCAAAACATAACACCATGTTTGTTTACCATCTATTCTTCTCTGTTTCTTATCACATTTATCTTTAATACTCATTTGAAAATTCTTGTCTTTCATGTCTGATGGTTTGCAGAATAAAGCATTTTTACATATCATACCTGCACACAATTCATCATAATGTGTATTTATCCATACATCTAAAGGATTTGATGATAATTCAATTAAATCTTGTTTGGCTTCAGTCATTGGTATGATTCGTACATTAAATGATGAAAGGTCATATTGCATAAAATACGTCAGTAAATTATCATAAAATTCCTTTGTGCATGAATTCATTAAATTCTTGAAGTAATCAAATTGACCCTTGATTTACCATTAACTCTTAAAACCACATATCTTCTGTCTCCAACTTCAATTTTGACAGGGTAAACGTTGTTAGTTACGAAAATGAAGTTTGCAACGTTTTGAGCTGTTCTTCTGGGTTGATTCTTTTCATTAATTCTAATCTCATTATCCGTTATAATTGATTTCAAAGCGTTGAAGTTTGCGAGTCTATCTTCACCAACATTCTTGAGTTCATTAAGTACAAGAAACATTTTATTCTCAACTACTGAATTGAAATTACCCGTTAGCTCACTTATTTCAGTAATGTTTTTACATGAATAACCGGCGAGAAGTTCAGAAATAATGTCCGTGAATCTGTTTTTACCTGTTCCCTGAAGTCCTTTCAAAATAATTGCTGTTTCATTCTTGATTCCAGGATGTTGAATCATTGATGCAATCCAGCCGAGAAGGTATTTATACACTTCATCGTTATTATCACAAATAACTTCATGAATGAAATCCATAAACATCTCAATTTTTGAGTAATCTAGTTTTTCGAGAATGTTGTATTTATAACCTTGAAACGTTGAGAAAACATCAGGAGAATTAGATTTAAAGCAAACACCCTTAACGGTTAATGAAGACAATTGATTTAATAGTACATCCCATGCTGTTATTGTTTTACCTTCTTCTTTAAATAATTTAATCATTTTAAGTGACTCTTTCATGTTTGATTGAAGAACGAATGATATTTGATTCATTTTGTCGTGGATATTGTAGTCCTTTTGAATGAAATATTTATTTCCACAATCTACAAAACGGGTTACACGTGATAAATCCTCAATTACTTCAGAACTGTTTTTATACTGATGATTTTCAGCCTTGCGTCTAATATCTGTTATCAAAAACGAGTCATCAAGTTTTATATCAAATGTTATTTTTGGCTTACGTAATAAAGGTAAAACATATTCATCATAATATTCCTTTTGATATAGTTTTAGAATCTTCACCAAAACAAATGGAGAAGTCATTAAATATGCATATCTATCACGTGCTTTTTCAAAATTACTTTTTGCATTTTTGTTAAACTGCAGAAGTTATAAACGTTGTCGTATGCTTCATTAATTAAATGATTAGGTAACGAATTAATTGCTTGAAACAGTGTGAATAATGTAACTTCTTTTTCTAAATTCATGTTTCCACCGTCATTATGTACTTCAAAATCACAGATACCATCAACTATGCTCTGGGCAAGTTTATCGTCAATGTTTGCATCTTTGTTTTCATTCATGATAGTCTTTATTTCTTCATTCTTTTGTTCAACTCTTACCTTAATATTCAAATCATTTAATACATCATTCACTGTTCTAGTTAATGTTGAGTCATAACTTCCACGAATGAATGAGTATGTATTGATTGGTTCTGTTGCATTCTTGCGAACTCTTGAATCAGCCATAACCACTAATGAACGCTTTGAATCATCAATAGAAGTCATTATATCAATATCATAATCATTGCAGGAATAACATTTAATCATTCTGTTCGAAACTGCATAGAAGAAATTAGTGTTGCAATAAATGTGAAGACCTCCCGAAGCGGTTTTAACGATAACATCTTTATCCGAAAGTTTTGATAAAATGTCTTTTCTAACCGTTTCTTTAAGTTCATCATTGTACGATTTATTGATATCAACATCTATAATCGTTAAATTTGGAATTTTATTTACTAATAAAGCCATACCGGTTTTCCTTCCTCTTCCTCCATCATGTTTGAGGTAGTTATGTAAATCAATCATTTTTACCAATTCTTTCGCTGAGGGTTTTAGTTTCTGTCATAACTAATTCCTCAACTAATGGATCAATAACTTTTTCATCAGAAACGATATAGTCACTATTGTTGTTTGTTGCCACAACTAATTCCTCAACTAATTCCTCAACTAATGGATCAATAACTTTTTCATCAGAAACGATATAGTCACTATTGTTGTTTGTTGCCGTCATTTATATAGGAATAAAAAAATAAAAATAATTTTAAAACTAATTTTATTTTTGGGCTGCATCATATTTCCAGTGATGTTGTCAAAATGTCATGTTGTCTCATTTTTTCAGAGAAGTTAAATAACCGAGTGACACATAGTGACATAGTGACACCTTCAGTTCTTCAAAAATAATTAATTATTGAATAACCTGAAATCATTAACGAAACCATTAACGATAACATAGTGACATAGTGACACCTTCAGTTCTTCAAAAATAATTAATTATTGAATAACCTGAAATCATTAACGAAATCATTAACGAAACCATTAACGAAATCATTAACGAAACCATTAACGAAATCATTAACGATAACATACATTTCCAGTGATGTTGTCAAAATGTCATGTTGTCTCATTTTTTCAGAGAAGTTAAATAACCGAGTGACACATAGTGACATAGTGACACCTTCAGTTCTTCAAAAATAATTAATTATTGAATAACCTGAAATCATTAACGAAACCATTAACGATAACACATAGTGACATAGTGACACCTTCAGTTCTTCAAAAATAATTAATTATTGAATAACCTGAAAATCATTAACGAAATCATTAACGAAACCATTAACGAAATCATTAACGAAACCATTAACGAAATCATTAACGATAACATATATTTCCAGTGATGTTGTCAAAATGTCATGTTGTCTCATTTTTTCAGAGAAGTTAAATAACCGAGTGACACATAGTGACATAGTGACACCTTCAGTTCTTCAAAAATAATTAATTATTGAATAACCTGAAATCATTAACGAAACCATTAACGATAACATATAGTGACATAGTGACACCTTCAGTTCTTCAAAAATAATTAATTATTGAATAACCTGAAATCAAATTTTGTTATCAGTTATTTTATCATCATTTTATTAACTTCATCTTTAGTTAATAATTTGAATGGATTCGCTAACGTTCCACCTTGAGTCACAACACCTACCCCAGCTAATTGTGAAGAACCTGGGATAAGTACTCCACGAAATGATTTCATTGGTAACATTAATTTAGAAATAGTTGGCTTAATTAATTTTGTCATTTATGATAAAAATAAAATTACATAATTTAAATTTTTTTCTTTCTCATTTTCTCATCCTGTTTTGGTTTCAACAACTTTTCAAGTTGTTGTCTTGTCAGTAACTTGAATTTTAACTTTGGATCAAATATTGGGTTTCCATCTTTATCTCTTCCAATAACACCATATGGTAGAATCTTCATTTATACTAAAATAAAAATTTAAATTATACCGTTCACTCTTTTGGAGCTCCTAAAGTTTGTGAAACAAACATTGAGCGTTCATTGAACTCTATACCATGCGTAAACTGTCATAAATGGTGGCATGTATTCTTTACTTTGTCCTGTTGTTTGTGTATATCCTGAAACGAAATGTGTATGGTTTCCTTCTCCCTGAGTGTCACTCCAGTAACAATTTATAGCAAACTTAACGTCATCTTTAACATCATATCCTTTACCTTTTGTCATTCCTGACCAATCCCAATATCTATGCTTATGCCAACCCGCTTGAGATGTGCTTAAATCTATGTAGTGACTGTGTGCAGGTAAATTTTCACCTGTAATCGTTTTACTTCCCCCTGTTTCCTTTGATGAGTTTGCACAATACAAAAACCTGTCGACTATTTGTTCCCATGCACCAACACCAAACATTGCTTGAGGACCTCTTGCATCCGTAGATGTATAAATAGAACCTACTGGGTTCATTAAATCAAACATATGAGATATTATAGGATTGTCTCTTTTGAACTTAAAATATAGTGCAACTATTTCAGGTTTCTTTTGGTTTGTGTTAGAATATTTTTTATAATATAATCTTATGTTTTCAGGGTAGGTAAAATTTTGACTATAATATTTATTTCTGTCATCTGTATAATAATATACTATTCTTGTTTTTTCTATTGCATTATATCTTTTATATCTATAATAATCTAAATATAATGTTAACTTTTGTTCATCTACATGTGGTGTTCTGACATCATCTCCATAGTCATAATAATATGGTGCTGGAGCTAGGTTAGACAATGTCATATCTGTCATTTCATAAACTCTTAAATATTTCTTTTGTTCGTCTCCATATAAGTTTAAGTAACAGTTGTTGTCTAATGGAACTTTAACTTGTGTGCCATCATTCTTTTTATAACTTACATACATTTCATTGTTATTTTTCGGAATGAGTTTACACCGTGTACCATTTTTTAAGGACTGTACAAACTGCCATCTAAAATATTTATTTTCTTCATTGACAGAAAAGTCACCAGCAATAGTTTCAATATTTTTTGTTGTTCCTATCAAACTTTGGTATATTTCATCAACATAAACCAAATTTGCTTTCTTCTCTAACTCATCATTAACATAAGTTTTATCCGCTTTAAGGTCTAAACATCCTGAAACCCAACCTGTATCAGCTTTAGTTTTAAAAATCTTCGATGTCCATTCATGATACCATTCAACCCTTTCTTTAATTTCATTATCTTTTTCATCAACATAAACCAAATTTGCTTTCTTCTCTAACTCACTAGCCACATATTCCTTATCTGCTTTCTTCATTATGTCATTTAGGAAACCTTTTATGAATTCCTCATTTAAATTAAATCTTCCAATCTTCAAAACTTTGGGAAATGCATTTAATGCGTAATATCTTTGTTCTTCTGGTGGAATTGATGTTATATCATCCGTTATACCTTTAATTTTTGAATTCATAAATAAAATTTCTTTTATATTTGATATCACTGCACCACCTTTGCAAACGAATTCGAAATGGTCATTTTTCAATACTATCTCCAAATCTCCATATTTCAACTTTTGTGTTTGTTCTGCCGTCTTTGAATTATATGCATATATGGCGTATGTAATGGTTTGCGCCTTAAGTTGCTGT